AGAGACTACTTGAATTCTATGGAAAATTCAGTCCTCCGAATTCTATGGATTCTTCAGTCCTCTGTTTCTGATGCTATTCAGTTGAACCCGGTTTAACCTGTTTGAATAGGGAATAATTAGGTTCAAGACAAAATTATGGAATCATTAATTCTCTCTTGTTAGGTAGATTTGATTTTTTTTCTGCCCTTGTTACTTGATGAGTATAGTAAAGGTCGATCCGTTTAAAGACCCTTTTTTACCCTTCATCTTCTCAGAACATCGTCCAGGGCGCAAGTAGAGTAAGAGCCAGGGGATTGTTTCCCACGATCCTCGTGCTCGCCTGGCACTTCACTGGCTCAACTTAACCCTTTTTAAAACCTAACTTCGATTTGCATTTTCTCCAGACTGTTTTCAAGTCAAAGAACTGAAAGCAGCAATGATAAGACATCTTAACTCTCGGTACAAAGTCAGTACTGAGATACCGTCTGACAGATGAACAAAAATTCAGTCCCTGCACCTTATATGAAAAAAAGCCATAGTGACTAAAAACATCGTTCCAGATTTTACCAGTGCAGTGAACTTTAACGAGAGTGAAATATGCAGCGGCATTATGAACTGATTTGAAAGTGGTCGTGCAAGTGACGGTCGTTAAGTATTTACACGCTCAGACAGTCACCCTGAAAGTGAACAATAATATATGAATGTTATTAACACAACATTCTTTTATAATTGTTCACTTTAGTGCCTGTCTAGGCTTGTTCCCAACTCAACCGTGTCATGCATGGGAATCAAACGGTCCTTGGATTAAATGAGTGATGATTTCCTTCGGTTTGGCATCAAACTGAACGAACAGTAGCCACACAACAAGGAACGCAGAAACTGGAAGGTAGCTGGTAGGTGTAACGCATAAATGAAGACGCTTGTGTATCTTGATCTCAGTTCGTCCAGACAATTTTTTACACGGTTTTAAAAGTGGATCTTGTTTTTTTTACCTATTACACAAACGCAATAAAATTTAAAGTGTTGTATATAATTCACACTGAACTATGATGGAAGAGGTCAAACCTCAGCGCTGAATTGAAAATTTAAAGCTGAACTGAATTATAGAATGATGTCTTTGAACATTAAAAACAGCTAAAACAACGGCGTCAGTCGTTTACATGCATGGACAGGCATTCAAAAACATAATTTTGTCTATGGCTTCTATGGAACTGATTTCAGTAATTGTTTGTTTATTTTTAATTTCTTCGTATCTTTACACATAAACACTGTCTAAAGAACCGTTAGAACTCAAAAAAGTATTTTAAAAACAACACACAGTACTACACATATATATTATATATATATATATGCGAACGGACAATTTAAATACGAAAAAAAAACAAAATTAACGAGCCTGAGGCGAATAATTGTTTTAGCATATACTCTTCCCTTTTTATAGGAACTATATGCTAAAACTTGTGGAGCGTTTTGGGAACGGGTCGGTCAGAGAACTTTACGAGATATCAATTTACGAGCGATCCTTTACGAGTGGACCTTCTATCGAGGAATATCAAGCGAAACCTGCTATATCAAACGAGTTCTGTCATGTTATGTTTACATGTAAACACAACCGCGTATTCAGACGTGATCGAGAACCCAGTAGAATACCAGAAGCTGCTCTGAAACGTCTCAGAAGAAAGGGCAGGAAACTGAAGGAATTTGTTTATGAGCGTATTCGTCTAAGCATACCGAAGTCCTCTTGGCTACGTCGTAATGTGAAGGTTAGAAGAGTTGCAAAGAATGTTTGTAAGCTTAATAAGAAGAKGGTAAGATTAAATAAAGTTACACAACATGAGAAGAAGTATTTGTTGAATTGTTCTGTGAGGGTATATCAAAGGATAATTAAATTGAAGTATAGAGTATAGTGTGAAATAAAGAAAATTGAAAAATTGAAATTGTGAGCAAGTCGGTATTTATCAATTTTTTCTTGTAACAGACCCATGTGTCTTTATAAGAGTCGAACACACGTTAATTTCAACTTAGTTCTGATAATTATAGAGAAAAACCCTGGTTTTACTCCAATGTACATAGACCCTAGCAAAACAATAATGGCACCATATAGCCAAGCTAATGAGTTGGTATTTGGTCAAAATTCAAAACAACATAGTGTTGCAATGAGTTTATGCTCTTTGATTTACAATAATAAACAAGGAGTCAGTTCTGCTAATGACCTTGTGTCAATAACGAATGTTGGAAATCAGTTGTATCCAAGTTTGTCTCAGTTAACCAGACATCATTTTTAATGCAGACAGAATTACCCACACTTTTAAATATGTTCGAGACTGACTATGAACTTCAATACAGTGAAAGCTACACTGGTGCTATTCATCAAGAAGCTACAATAGAAGGAGATCAGTACTGTACCTCCTTAGATAGAGCCTTTCAATCAGTCATATTAAAAAATTTCAACAATTTTGTCTTGAAAATAGGATGTACTGCAGTTACTATCTATTGTAAAGGTAATGTGGGCTTGAAAATATTTGATTCTCGTGCAAGGGATATTTATGGTAGAAGCCATCCTCAAGGTACATGTGTGCTTGACGTAGCATCATTGAATGGCTTAGTAGATTATTTTCAGAGTATACATAACAATGATATATTTGAGTTGAAAGGGGTTAAAATTAATAAAGTTCAAAATAGTACCCTTTTTCAGAGTCATGCCTGTGAAACCAGAAAATTCAATGTGAGTTGTGCTGTGGCTGTCTATTCACTCTGCTACTCCGGATTAAAATCATGTAGTTATTGGAATTCAAGTCCCTTATCTAATGAGACTCAGTATGGCAAAAGATTATATGAAAATTCATCTTTAAACAAGTATTTACCGTCCGCATAATTAGCCAAAAATTCTTGATGTTTGTGAAACTGAGGTAAGTTTAGATCCTAAAAGTGATTTCAGCGAAGGAATATTGTCTGATTCAGTTGACAGCAAATCAATGTTCAAAAATCTTGTAAGAAATAATAGTGAATGCAAAGGGGTTTTTTATGTGGTTTTCAGTTTTTTTGTGACATGTCTTTTCAAACCCACAAAAAGGTCAAAATGTGTGTATTCCCTCTTGGTATTGAACGAAAGTCAAATGCCCCTAATTTAATATACTAAAACTGTAAATAGCACTGTTTCTCTTGTTGCAGCCATCAGCAATATTCAAAATTTAGAGATTTTCCTATTAAAAACAATATAAATTATTGAACAGTAATATTGCTTCAAACTACTGATTTCTGAAAACTCCCCTTGGGTGAACATTTGGCAACAGACTATGACTCGGTACCCATAATAGATGAAAAATTCCCTTCTCCTTGCAGATAAAGGCAAATGTATTACCCACTCAGGGTTCGTAAAAGCCTTGAAAGTCCTTGAAGATGTTTGAACTTAAAAATGAAAAATTCAATACCTTGACAGTACTTGAATTTGAGGACTAGGGCTTGATTTTTACAGTCCCCAAAAGATAACTTCAAATGTGCGATATTGAAACCCCGAGTTCACGCAGCTATGCGTTTAGTTTAGTTTTAAATTCAAGCATCTTCAAGAACTTTCAGGGCTTTTACAAACCTTGAGTAGGTAATGTATTTGCCTTTAACTGGAAGGAGAAGGGAATTTTTTATCTATTATCGGTACCGAGTCATAGTTTGTTGCCAAATGATCACCCAATGGGAGTTGTCAGAAATCAGTAGATTGAAGCAATATTACTGTTCAGTAATTCATATTGTTTTTAATACAAAAATATCTGAATATTGAATATTGTTGACGGCTACAACAAGAGAAGCAGTGCTATTTACAGTTTTAGTATTTTCAATTAGAGGCATTTGACTTTCATTAAATGCCAAGAGGGAATACACATACATTTTGACCTTTTTGTGGGTTTAAAATACATGTCATACAAAACCTGAAACCACATAAAAAACCCCTTTGCATTCACTATTATTTCTTACAAGATTTTCGAGAATTGATTTGCCGTCAACTGAATCAGACAATATTCCTTCACTGTAATCACTTTTAAGATCTAAACTTAATTCAGTTCCACAAACATCAATAGTTTTTGGCAAATCATCTGACGGTAAATACTTGTTTAAAGATGAAGTTTCATATAATCTTTTGCCATAAGGAGTAACATTAGATAAGGTATTTGAATTCCAATAACTCCATGATTTTAATCCGGAGTAGCAGAGTGAATAGACAGCCACAGCACAACTCACATTGAACTTTCTGGTGATCTTTCTAGTTTCTGCATGACTCTGAAAAAGGGTACTATTTTGAACTTTAATTCCTTTCAACTCAAATATATCGTTGTTATGCATACTCTGAAAATAATCTACTAAACTATTCAGTGATGATACTTCAAGCAGAAGGCATGTACCTTGAGGATGGCTTCTACAACAAATATCCCTTGCATGAGAATAGAATACTTTCAAGTCCACATTACCTTTGCAATAGACAGCAACTGCAATACAACCTATTGTCAAGACAAAATTGTTGAAATTTTCGGATATAAGTGATTGAAAGTCTCTTCAGTCTTGAACACATTTAAAATTGTGGGTAATTCTATCTGCATTAAAAATGATTGTCTGGTTAACTGAGACAAACATGAATACAACTGATTTCCAATACTCATTATTGACACGAGATCATTATAGCAGAATTGCTTCCTTGTTTGTTAGTGGTAAATCAAAGACCATAAACTCATTGCAACGCATTGTTGTCCTGAATTTTGTCCAAATATCAATTCATTAGCTTGGCTATATGATGCCATTATTGTTTTGCGAGGGTCAATGTACATAGTGGTTGGACCAGGATTTTTCTCAACATCTGAACTCAGTTGAAATTTACAATAGTTTGATGCGTGTGTCTGACTCTCCTAAAAACACAAGGGTCTATTACAAGAAAACATTGATAAATACCATCTTGCTCTATACTTCAATTTCATTATCCTCTGATATACCCTCACTGAACAATTCAGCAAATACCTCTTATCATGTTTTGTAACTTTATTTAATCTTACCCTCTTCATTATAAGTTTACAAATATTCTTTGTAACTCTTCTAACCTTCACATAATGACGTAGCCAAGAGGACTTCGGTATGCTTGGACGAATACGCTCATATATAAAAAATTTCCTTCATTTTTCTGCCCTTTCTTCTGAGACGTTTCAGAGCACCTTCTGGTATTCTACTGGGTTCTCGATCACATCTAAGTACACGGTTGTGTTTACATGTAAACATGATATGACAGAACTCCTTTGATATAGCAGGTTTCGCTTGATATTTGTCGATAAAAGGTTCACTCGTAAAGGATCGCTCGTAAATTGATCTCTCGTAGAGTTCGCTGAACGACCCGTTCGCAAATCGCCCCACAAGTTTTAGTGCGGTTCTACTGCGAACGGTGTGTGACTTTCTATATATATTGGGCGTAATAGCCATCGAATTTCTTTCGGCTACATCAAGCAAGGAATTGTCCACGAAGGCGGCCATTGATTTCTTGCTTCAAACCATGCGCTCTAGGGACTTTTTGAACTTTTGAACTTTTATTTATTTCACACTATTAATGGAAGTTAATATTTATATAATAAATAGGAGAGAGAGAGAGAGAAGAATAAAAGTAATATTTGACCATAAAGATAAGTTTGAAAGGTGCACGGTATCCAAAGTCGCAAAAGCTTTCTAGTTGGACACTGTAATGGTCATATAAAGAGAAAGCAGCCTACAATAAAAGTAAATCAGCAGTAAAGCAAGTAAAATGATTAGGTTTTGTTCAACAAGGTGGAAGTTTCCAATAGAGATGGAGCTTTTGGAGCTCAAAATGACCATCATATACGCTAAACAAGACTCGATTTTGAAACTGTGGACCCGTAATAAAAGTCTTGAAGCGATGAAATGGAACTTCGAAATAAATTTGCTCATCGACCCTCAAATGGGATACGATTTATGGCCAGAAAATGAGAACTGAACCAAGTAAGTAGAACAACGGCTCTTATCAATTTTAAAAAAAATAGGATTAATTTTCATCTTTAAGGTGAGGGACCACTGAAAGTACTTAGTTCCCTAACAACGAACATGGACTACCCCTGAGAAATAAACTAAACTCATGGCAAACCAGACACAGCCTCATCGTTTTCTCCCCACCATAAAGCTCAATGTCGGTGGCCAACACTTCACAACAAGCCTCCACACGCTTAACAAAGATCCCAACTCAATGTTGGCCACCATGTTCTCTGGAAAATTTGAAATGAAACCCTCCGAGGACGGTGCGTTCTTCATCGACCGAGATGGAACTCACTTCCGGTTTATACTCAACTATCTTCGCACTGGAAAACTGGCTTTGCCAGCGAATGCGGCTCATTTAGAAGAGCTTGAAGCGGAAGCAAACTTTTATCAAATTCAGGGATTAATGGATGAATTGAAATCCAAAGCACCATTTCAAGAATCGCAAATTGTAAAAGAAGAAGATCATCGTAAATTACTGAGACGCTGGCTTCCCAATCAAGGAGTTGAGTGGCAACTCCTATTCCGAGCTTCGCGAGATGGCTTCACAGCTCAAGCCTTCCATTCCAGATGCGATAACAAAGGACCTACGGTTACCATTGTAAAGAGTGGAGATAACATATTTGGAGGCTTTACCGAGATTTCGTGGACAAGTAAGTTCAGAGCGAAGCTTTTGCAAGTAAGGAACAACTTCAATTTCAGGAGGCCATCCTCATAGGTGTCGAGAAAGCCAAAGGAATCGTATAACCACAAATCCAAACAAAGTAAATTATTTCGGAAGGATATAATTATAATAATTTAGATTAAACATGTCAAACATGTGAGTTCTTGTTAAGGGGTGATGTCAGAATTTTCAAGAAGAAAGGTCCTGTCTGACTACAACTGCAGCATCTCACTAGAATTTGAGAGCAAGCCAGGCTGTTTTACGATCAACTGAATTTCACTTGTGCTGAACTCTTTACATCCTAACATCGGTATGCATATTCTCCATTCTTTTCTCTATACATTTCTTACAGAACTGAGAAGGAGAATTTGTTTAACAATCAAGAGGGGTGATATTTTAAGGAGACATTAGATGCTAGTCTCCTGGCCCTGTAATAAACGGTTCGAATTTTCGCTTTCGAGAGTATTCTTATGTGTTTCTGCGAAATGCGTAATAACTATTTTCCTTCCTATCCCATAGGTCATTGTAACTGGGTACCTTGCCATGATTCATTTCTGTTCAGCTTGGTAAATCCACACGGTTTGGGACCAATAAAAATCCCTGAAATTAAGAGCAAAGAAAACGCCATTTTCTGCAACACCAACTGTGGACCAACATTCGGTGGCTGGTACAACCTTCACATATCAAGAAATGCGAACAAGACCAATTCAAGTTACAGTAACCTCTCTCACTCATTCAATTTTCTTCCTGACACTGACTTGTCTTTAACAGGATGCAAATATTTTTCTGTCACAGATTACGAGGTTTTTGGAAGTTGAAACGTTTCACTGAAGCTTTAGGATCCAACATGCCCTATACAAACATTCTCTCAGTCTATTCGCTTTCAGCTCTTGATATGTAACCATTTATAGGCAGGGAATACTCTTCTTTCAACAAATGGTAAACACCACAGCATACGCTTTTGAGTTATGGATGCGCGTGGGAGGTTACTAGGCACGAAAGAAGCGTAAGAGTCGCACGAGGCGATAGCCGAGAGCGACTCTAGTTTCTTGAGTGCTTAGCAAGCGTCCCAGATGCTTCCATAATTGAACTCAATATATAGTGTACGCTATGGTGTTTATCATTTGTTTTATAAGATAACATTGATATATTGTAACAAAAGAGTTCCCGTCTATTTAACCATGAAATCCTAGGTGACCAGAAAAACAAGCGCGGGGAAACTATATATAGCTAGTCTTTGCATTTACTCACGGTCAGCAGCGTACACCCTTGGGCAAATGGTGAACACTGAGTTGACCAATCAGAGCGCGCTTTATTTTGGTTATGTTTAAATCATCCATAAAAAAAAAATGCCTGAAACGGCTACGTGTATAATGGTAAAAAACTTCGGGAGTGAAACAATGCACGCGTTTAAAAAAGTGTTGCCTCTTTTTCAAATTATGAAAAGGTCTAAAACCTTCGCCATGTATAACTCAAAGGCCTGCCAAACAAGCCTGCCCGAGAAAATTCTGAGTCTATTACAATGAATAAAATTCAAACTTTACCAATAAACATCAGAAACTTTCGCTATTGCGCGCATGCACTGTTACTCCAGTCATTCAACCCAGAAAAATTATGACATGTACATTATGTGAATTATTTCGTGTGAATTATTCTATGTGAATTATTTTATTTTTATTTTGTATTTTTTCTGACGAGCTGGGCTTTTCCGCAAGAGCCTCATTTTTGTAGAGTTGGAATTCGACCTCAACTTTTGATATAATTTGCAATAGTCATGTATTCTGACAAGAGAAAATTGTGGTTACGATAAGTTTCCGAAGGACAAGTAGTTAACAATTGTTCTATGTTTTTGACCTCTGATGACGCACACAAACTGTTACCGATGTTTGATCCGGTACAGTGATTAAGAGTTAAATATTACCTATGCCTCTTTATCAAGTCACTTCACAGCATCAATAATGTTTTTAAAATCATTCAATAATGATTGTTTACCAGAAATTTTCACGACTGATAAAGTTACAAAGTTACGCTTTTGGAACTGACTTAAAACTTTCCAATTTTAGTATTCAACTTTAGTATCCAACATGGTGTGGAGAAACTTTGGTGAGAAATATAAATAAAGGTAAAAGGAATGCAAAACTGTGATCTAACAGGAAAAATAACTCAAATACTTAGGGAGATTTTTTAACATTAACAATGCGGTCATTGAACGGTACACCGACGAACAACTCAGTTTGGTAATTAATCCGAATGGATTAATTACCACACAACTTTAAGAACATGTCGCGAACGTTTTCAGGCTCAAATCGCGAAAAAAAAAAGAACGTCCAGCCTCAGAACCAAAATTAGAATTTCTTTTTTTTATATATAAAAAAGAGCGTAAAGAATAAATTGCTATCCAGCTGCGGATGAACCTCTAACCAACGGACAAATCTCTGTCCAATGGATACATTGCTATCCAGCGGATTAATCGTTATCCAAAGGGTAAATCGGTATCAAGTGTGATGAGCGTTGACGAAACATACCACACTATCTACCAATTAGAGATTTACTTTAGTGTTATCCACCCTGCGAACAACCGGGACCCGCTGGCCGGGACTTTTCCGCCAGAGGCCCATTATTGTAAAGGTGAAATTTCCGGCTGACAAGTGGATGTTCCTTGTTATTGAGCTTTGTTGACGCACACAGATTGTTACCGCGCTTGACCCGGTGCAATGTCGTGGTGAAATACATATATCTTATTACACGTTTTCTTGTGAAGTAGCGCTGAGTATTTCTACGAGTTGTACCGTAGTTTGACGAGCCCGGAAGGAGAGTCAAAATACAAACAACGAATAAAAATACTCAGCGATGCTACACAACAAAACGTTTAATAACATATTTATTATATCTCTTGAAGTCACCTCACAGCATCAATAATGTTTTATCGTAAAATAAATATTCTTTGATGAAAACATTTTTATAACTAATATGGACAGAATAGATATATAATACTGGTGTGAGAATTTTCTGCCGATTAGACTGAAAAGACTAGCTTTAAACAAATGCCTCTCTCATTCGTTTTAATGGTTTATATTCGATTTATATTTAATGAGGCATGTTTCCGCCATCAGACAGTTTCAAATTAAAACTACAATAGTGGCCAAGGTCTGGTCACACGTTTGCATTTGGCTATGCAAATGAAAAGAAAAGAGGATGAAAGCTTATGCTTTCATGCTTCAGCATATTCTGTCAACATTAGGTAGCTCAGTCGTCCAACAGAGAAAGTGAGTCCTTTTAACAATACTTCCGGTTTGGCGGGAAAGGAGGTTCTAAATGCGCAAAGATATATCCGGTCACGGAGGGAAACCGATCCGACTGGATTTAGCTCTACAATGAGAATTTAAGAGTTGTCATTATCGCCGAAACAATCCATTCTCTGAGCTGTCGTTGAAGAGAATAATGAGTGTATTCTAAAGAATCACGTCGTTGCAACTTTATCCGTTACTGGAAAAAAATAGAAGGTAGACTGTTGCATATTTCTCGGATAATTTTCTTTGTAACGTTAAAGCATTTGTGATGAATGGTCCCTATCCTTTTGTCATGATGTATTTATTTATCTTGATCTTAGCTGTATGTTACGAATGTCTTAACCACATGTGCGTGCAGTTTTGCAACTCACTGAGAGTTGTGTAAGAACAAGAGACAATCAAAGATTAGTTAATGTCCAGTTCCTCTGGAAAAAGTACAACCAAATTTTTCTAGGTTTTAGAAGTGTTCCTAGAACTGATAAATTGAGTTTTGGAAGCCTGGCCGCGATCGACCATATCTATCAACTGAGTATACCCTGAAAGGTTTCATGTTCTGCACGAAGCGATCCAGCACTGACATGAGCACTGCTAACCTTCTTGCATGGGATATTGGTATTTCCAACGTATTTTTACCGTTTGGACCCCCAATAGCTAGGCTGATGGGCATCTGTTTTAAATTGTATAGTTTCAGAATGAAAGGTGTATATTCGAAACCTATTAATTCTGAAATTTAGGACGGATTCTCGACCTCAAAGAGATCATTTGCCCGAGAGCCTCAAAAGCGCAATATCTACGGGGAGCTTTTCCATATCCGTAAAATTTATTGATCTAGGATCCCAGCTCCAATTCCAAAAAATGCGTTTTTTTCTGGGTAAACTGTTAAGTTATGATATTGACCAACCTTCAATTACCAGCTAAGCTCCGCCCAGAATCCTCTCGTTTAAACAGAATCTGCGTATGCCTTGTGCGTTTATGGGTTTAAAACTTCCAAATGGTGTTCACCTTTTTTCCGCGTTCAATCCTGGTCTGACAATGGCTTTAATTCAAACTTGGGGGAAATATTTTTGTAGAGGGAGGAACTTTTGTTTATCTACAAAACCGCGAAACTATTCTTATGGAGGATTTCAATTTAAATTACTTCGATAAAACATACAACAGCCATCGGCTTGCCAAAGCCCTCAAAACCATGGCTCTAAGTCAAATTGTTACTTCCGTTACTGGACCTAAAAGTGGAACATGTTTAGACCATTGCTATACAAGTCACCCAGCCTTTATTGCGGATATTTCAGTCCTTAATATCGGACTTGCAGACCATCTTCCAGTAATTATTCGACGAAAATAAGCTAAATCCAAAGAGAATAGGGAATCAGAACACATCACAATAACATATCGGGAGACAAACAATTTGAACACCGATGAATTCCTCCAGTCACTGGAACGGATCTCCTGGGACTCCACTTTTTTGTTTGAG